AGGAAGATTATAGCTCGGGGGATCGAGCACGAGTGATTTCAGGGATTTGCGAGTTATCGAGATACACGGGGTGAGTCTTCTCACTATACTTTACCTTGAGTAGGTAACCAGAGTTATGTGATAGAATATTGGTATGCTATGTATATTATGTGTTGCACTGCATTATTTCTATGTGATTTATGCAATGCATGCTATCAGAGTAGAACCTGAGGGTTCACAGAGCTTGGGTGCACGGACCCACAGAGTTATGTGATAGAGTTATATGCCAAGTGTAATTGCATGTTATTTATGTGCTATGATTTATTGTGATATGTGCTATGTATAATTTAGAGTTATAGAGTTAGGACCTACGGGTCGACAGAGTTGGGACTTTTGGGTCCACAGAGTTAGGGCCAGAGGGCCCATAGAGAGTTGGGGCTGGAGGGCCCCACTGAGACACATAGACCTGAGGGTCAATAGAGTTACAGCCGCGAGTGGCTATTGTGTGATAAAGTGGTATTTTGGGGAACTCACTCAGCTTCGTGCTTACAGTGTTTTGTGTTATGTGTTTCAGGTTTCTCTCAGGATTACGGGACGACATCGACTTGATTGTACACACCAGAGAAAAAGTCATGTTTTTGAGGATCCTGGTTTATTATGCAAATGAAAATGGAATTATGTCTTGTAATTCGATTATGAATGAGATTTTAAGGAAAGTGTTTTAAGAATTAAATCATTATATTTAAATGAAAAATTCTTTTGAAATTTACGGCATTACATCCGAGTTTTACAATACTAATATATATATATATATATATATATATATATATATATATATATATATATATATATATATATATATATATATAGATAGATAAATAGAGAGAGAGAGAGAAAGCAAGAGAGAGAGAGAGAGAGAGATCCAATAAGAAGAAAATTTTTGGTAGGACAATAAGATTTTTTTTTCTTCTTGTTTTTTGGAGAACAAAGCAAATGCATCACTAGATGGATAAAAATAACATAATATACAAAAATATCCCGAGAAAACATCTCTATGATTTATTTTTATGATGTTTTGATGTTATTCACTAAAATTATAACAAAGTGAAATTATATTTTTCTTAATTTACTTAAACATAAATCATGAATGGTTTTTTTGGGAATTTTTGTCTTGTTAATCATCTTATTTTTTATTCATCAAATAATTCATTTTGTTGGTTCGCAAAAAAATATGTATATAAAAAATTTCTTACCTTGTTACCTAAATTTTCCTTTTATTTGATCTTATATATATATATATATATATATATATATATATATATATATATATATATATATATATATATATATATATATATATATATATATATATACAAACCCCCCAATTGTATCGGCGAAAAAAGGAAATGAATACACGTGTATTTTCAAACAAAACATGTTTACTTAAACTATGCTAATAATTACTTTAATATATAAAAAAATAGTCTTTTTTTTTTAAATTTGGAAGGGGTTATTTTTATTGAAAATCTTTTTTTAAATATATCAAAATTCGTTATTTGTTTTCTCTATAAATAGACATCTATATTAATATCGTTTTAAGATAAAATAATTTTTTTTGATAGATCAACTCTTGTTATCCGTTACTAAATAAAAATGAATCTAGTTTTAATACAATATTTGTTATTCATAACTAAATAAAAAGGAATCAAATTTTTATTAAAATACTTTCGTTATTGTCTTATTAATAAAAGTATGTTTGAATAACACGTTTTGTCAGAATTTTGTTACAGTTTATTTCTTATTCATATATGAGTAAGTAGGTTGAATTTTCGAAACACTTCGTTTTTTACTAATAGGCTACTTGTTCATATATAAATAACAAATGAACTTAGACAAAAATATAATAAGTGTTTTATTCATATATGAAGATAAAATACGATAAAAACTAATATAAGGTTTCATTCATATATTAATATAACATATGACGAAAGATGATGTAAAAAAATATATTTTAGATAAAAAAATTATTATGTGTTATATTAATATATGAATGATACTTAATGTGTAAAATAAGTAAGCATATGTTTTATTTATAAGTAAATAACGAATGTACTTTAAATAAAAATCATAAAAATTTGATACATCTTTATTCATTTATGAATAACGATAGCTGAAATTTAATAAAAATAAAAAATTTATTTTATCTTAAAACTATATCAACATAGATTCCTATCTATAGAGAATTAAAAAATAATGAATTTTGATATATTGAAAATAAATTTTCGATAAAAATAACTCCTTAAAAATTATTATAAAATAAAATAAAATAAAAAGCTATGTATTTATATATTAACGTAATGATTAACATAGTTTAAGGAAACATGTTTGGTTTCAAAACACACGTGCATCCCTTGTCCATTTCCTTCAGTACGCCGAAGTGTTTTGCGAAAAAAATAAATGATTAGCTGAGAATGATTCTCTCATTCTCAATCTTTTTTTTTCTCAATTGAATCTCTCTCTCTCAAGATGTCATAGAAGGACTTGCATCTCTCCGAGGATCTTAAGATGAACTTGTTTAGGGTTGCTACTCTTCCCCTTAATCTATGAATATCCTTTGTTGAGGATGGTGATCTCAGATCAAGGATGACCTTGATTTGCTCTAGCCTTGCTTTGATTCCTCTTTTTGTCACTATGTATCCCAGGAACTTACCCAATCTCATCCTAAAATGGCATTTGGAGGGATTCAGTTTCATGTTATATTGGTCTAGGATGTTCAAGGCTTCTTCGAGATCCTTGAGGTGACCCTCATCTTTTTTGGACTTGACCATCATATCATCGATGTAGACTTCCATCGTGTCCCCCAATTTCTCCTTAAACATCTTATTGACCAATCTTTGCTATGTCGCACCTGCATTTTTAAGACCAAATGGCATGGAAGTGTAACAATAGATACTCGTTGTAGTTATAAACGTCATGTCTTCTTGGTCAGAGGGTTCCATCTGGATCTGTTGGAATCCTGCTGATGCGTCCATGAACATTAGTAATTTGTGACTCGCTGTTGCGTCTATCATGAACTCGAAATGTGGTAGAGGGAAAGGATCATTGAGACAAGCCTTGTTGAGATCCGTATAGTTCACACACACTCTCGATTTTTCGTTCTTCTTTTGCACCACGACCATTTTAGCTTGCCATATTGGGAACTTCATGTGACATCCCCATTTTCACAGATACAAAAGACCGATTTGTTTATGCTTTATAAAAATCAGAGTACTTCTTTTAAACATATATATATATATATATATATATATATATATATATATATATATATATATATATATATATATATATATATATATATATAAGTTCAGGTGTTTAATCTATCTATTGTATTATTGTATGCATCATTGTGGGTCAATCATTCTTAAGGGGTATTAGTGTAATCTTAATATATAAATTATATTTCCCTGAGTTAATTAAATGTTGATTGATATCAATCAAATTCCTAAATATCAGGCTATTAAATATGTATCTTATCAATGAAAATATTATATATATATATATATATATATATATATATATATATATATATATATATATATATATATATATATATATATATATATATATATGCATCATATACGTTTTATTCGATTGCAGATTAATCGTTCAGCATCTTCATCGTTCATCGTTCATCGTTCATCATCTTCATATCATTTCTACTATTTTGATACTTCTTTAATGGAGGTATGTTGATATTAATCCATCATCAGATTAATATCATATTTGTTATTATGATATTTTATTGATGAAATTCATATTTTTCAGAACAAAGATAACAATAACAAGGACTTTTCTGATAACAATGGTTAGAACGTCAAGCAATCCCCAGTGAATCAAGATCGGAAGAAAATAGGAAGATGTGAGATTTGTTTTGGTCTTGGTCATGATAGGAGGAACTGTCCTCAAACAAGGGTCAAGAGAGAGTAGACATTATTTCGTCAAGATATTTTAGGATTTGAATAATGTTTTCAACTTAGTTTTATCGGATTTTATGGAGTTTTATTTCAGTATAATAAAGATATGGATTCATGAATCTTAGGGGTTTATCCTTGTAAGTTTATGTTTTCATTAAATTAATATTAATAAATTTCATTATGAGTTTGATTAAACTTCCAAACATTTTGTTATTTATCATGTGCATACAGATATGTTGTGGGAAATGTATTTTTGTCGTCATATTTGTCTAGAATAATTCTTAAATTGTGTTATACATAATGTTATAGTGTAAACATTATGTCAAAATGATGTTTGTAAAAATTATTAGAATACAGATTTTGATTAGAATATACAGAATAAACAGAAACACAATTATTAATTTTTTTGTTTAATTCATTTTGTTTTTCCATTCGTACAGAATAAGTGTTCAAAAATTCGTATTAATTAATGATTACTCAAAGATTTAGTTAGAATTTAGTATTATCAAATTCTTCCGGAATGTTAATTTTATTGTAGTATATATATTAAACATGAGAAAACTACATTTAGTGTCTTCCTTCTTACTTTTATTCTTACAGAATGAAAAGCTTAACCAATATGTTGATGATATTTTTTTTGTAAATATTGTTTTAAATATTCTAACAGAATAACAGTATGGTATATACATTGATTTCTTAGTATATGCGTCTATTCCATAATAAATCAATAATCATTTGTAAATTCATACAAAATATTTTTTTAGAAGTATTATCTATGAAATTTATTATATTTTTAATATGAATCTGTCAAATATTTAGAATATCATGATGAATAATATGATTTTGTGTTGATTCTTATCTTTACAATGTTTCTAGAAATTAAAAAAAATCATAATCGATAACAATGAATGCAGATATCACGCCTTTTTAGTTACATATCGATTACATGGTTTCTCCTTTTTTAATAGATACTGATTTGGCTCAAAGTTTGTAATATTGAATTTATTTTGCTTTCTCTTGGTGTTCAATCGTGCTGTAAATTATCTTATGGATGATATAGTATCAGCTGGTGACGATCGTATTCATGATCAACATGAATATCCTAAGGATTATGCACATGATTATGAAGATTTCAGGTTAGCTGATCATGATTCTCTACACAATATTGATTTTCTAATATCCGAGAATAGCAATCTATATTTAGGTGAGTTTTTTATATAAGTTTTCATACTTGTTAATATTTATAATAATAATGTTGTTCTTTTATATTGTTTTTTTCAATATGTCGCAACTTGCACTTGCAAAGATGAGGATCCATTAGAACACAATCAACATCATATATATGACAATTCAAAATATCAATTCGGTGATTGTAGTAATCATAACCCAGGTGATGTATCTTAATTTTTTTAAAAATATATATTTACGCATCCTTTACACATATTCTAATTAAATAATGCAGAAAACAAAATCAAGTTCAGTGATAATGAGGCAGACTATAGTATAGCCGATGATAAGATTGATTTACAGAAAGGTTAGTATACGAATAAGAAAAAAGTTTAATAAACTCTGTTAATTATGTTCCAATTTTTTTACTTTGTTTTAAATGTTAATCTTTTTTTTAATGCAGAACAATCTCATGTTACACATGATTATGTTTCTCCTGGTGGATCATCTTATTGGATTCCTGTTGTTCCAGACCACATCAAACCTAAAATCAATTCAACTTATGATTCATCTACTGCAACATTATCAATGTATAACAATTACGCATCATTAGTAGGCTTTGATGTCAGGCTTGGACCAGTTAGAACCATCGAATCCGACATTATCACACAACAACATTTGCTATGCAATCAGGAAGGTAAACCAAGATCCGGTAAAGTGGATGGTTTAGACCCTCAACATAATAAGATTCAGAGAAGCAAAGACTCATTTAGATGCAAATGCAAAGCGAAAATTGTTTTTATTCTATTAGAAGGAACTAATATATACATTGTTGCTGATTTTGTCGAACAACATAATCATGAGATGTTTGCTAAGGACAACATATTTTTGTCTCGTACAAAGAGGAAACTTGATTATTCACAGGAAATGTTTATTCATTACTTGTCAAAGCAAAATATTGGTGCCCTAAGAGCTCATAGATTGTATATTGGACTTCGAGGTGGTTCTGACATTCGCGGTAGGTTGGTTTCTGATTTCAAGAACAGTACGAGAAATCTCAATTCTTACATAGGTGCCAGGGACGGAAAATTTCTTGTAATGAAGATGATGGAAAGGAAAAAAAATATCCTAAGTTTCTCTTTCGAGTTTAAAGTCATTGAGAAAAGATTGAATTCGATTTTTTGGGCTAACGAAACTGCAAAGTACAACTACAATGCTTTTGGAGACGTTGTATCTCTTGATGCCACATTCAGCATGAATAAGTTTATTTAAAAATTTTCGCTATTACCACAATATTTTTTTAAGCCAATAATGCTTACCCATTTTTATTTTCTTAAACAAATATGATATGGTTTTGGTTCCGTTCACTGGGATAGATAACCATAAGAAATGTGTGACTTTTGGTGCTGGACTTTTGAGTAGAGAAGATTGGAGTTCTTATTGTTGGCTACTTAGAGCATTTTTAAAAGCATTCAAAAAACAACCTACGCTTGTTCTTACAGTTCAAGATCCAGCATTAATCAAGGTTGTTAAAGAAGTCTTTCCAATGTCAGCACATAGGTTTTGTATGTGGCATATTACCAAAAAACTCCCAAACAAGGTGAATATTTTTTTATATTTAAAATAAGTCCTCTATGTTCACCTTGTTAGTGTAAATTGTTTTATGCAGAAAAATAATTCTTTAAGAACAAATGTTTTTATTAATATTATTATAAGTTCTTTCAGAATACATATTACATAGTAATTCTGCTAGAATAATATTATACATTCTTTCAGAATACATACTAACACATTCATACCCTTCTTTCGACGTATACCACTATTATATATTTTATGACAATATATAACTTTTAATTTTTTATTCATATAACATCCCAATGTCTATAATTTGGAATTCTAAGCTGGAACCACATGATTTTGAAAAAGCATGGAAATCTTGTTTACATGAGTTTAACATTTTAAATAACAAATGGATGCAAGAGATGTATCCGTTACGTACACGTTGGGTTACTGTATTTTTCAAGGACATACCGATGTCTGGTCTTGTGAGAACTACATCTTTGTCGGAAGGGCAAAATTGGTCGTATCATAACAACACCCTTACTGGTTCTTATCTTTTAATGTTTATAATGACATTTGCGGGTGTTATGGAATGTTAAAAGGCGTAATCAATTTGTCAATGACTTTAACACTGCTACAATACTTCCTAGATTCATCACATCTAGTCCAATTGAACAACATGCTTCAAAGGTTTACACTCGTAATTTTTTTTATCAGGTGTAGAAAGAGATATCATATTCGGATAATACTTGTTTCCAAATGAGTGTTACTTCTAATAATGGTGCTGACATTGTTATTGTATTGGAAAAGCAAAAGAACATAAGCACAAGGCAAACATCCAATCCTATTGTAGATGACAAACTTGAGCAATACCATTACGATTGTCTTATAAAGGATACCCAATACATGGTATGTTATTACTTCTCCAATAAAATTTATTTAAAAACACAAAACAAGATTTTTAAGTGTGCAATCATATTTTTTCATACATATTCTAGGTTACACACTCAACAATAGATGGTGTTGGATTAGTGTCTAAGTCCATAACTATTTTGGTATGTACTTGACCCGATGGTGCATAGTCCTTTTGGGTTGCCTTCACCAAATCAACTTGATAGGATGAATTATGGAGAGAAAGGATTAAATATGATTTATTAAAATATTATGAGAATAATATATTAAAGGAGAAATCATATTGTTTGATTAATATTAGTCAAGAATTAGTTTATAATTAATTTTGTGACAAAAAGAGATTAATTAAACTTAAGGGACTGGAATTGTAATTATACGATAATTGCAATTGGGCTATGGATTACCTTATAATATAAGGTTGGACGAATTCTATGGGAAACCCATTAGAAATCATCCAAGGCTTGTTAAAGAAGGGTTCATGGGTTGCTTAGGGCCTAAGCATCCAAATTAGGGTTTCCATGTCAGATAACCCTTAAAGCCTCACTATTTAAGGACCCCTTGGGCACCAAAAACGTGGCCAACTGAATCCTTAGGGTTTCTACATGTTTTTTTGGGTGTCTCTTCTCTTCTCCTCTTCATCCTCTTGCTCTTGGTGTTTGTGAACCATTAGAGGAGTGACATTTGTGACTCTAAGCTTTCTAAAGTCTTTACAAGGAGGATTTGAGATTGTTATTGCTACACAACAATCAAGGTATGATCTAAACCCTAATTCATATGTTATATTGATTATCATATTCTAGATCTAGGGTTTATAGTCTTGGATGAATTGCATGTACAATAGAGAAACCTAGATCCAAGCATTAGGGTTTGTATGAACAAATAGGATGTTCTTATGAATAAAACTCATCAGTGGTATCAGAGCCTTGATTGATTTCTATTTTATTGATGCCTTGCATGTACATTCTTGTTGCAAAATCGAAATTTTTGCTTTCTGACTGCTGAACTCGGCGAGTTCCAATGTGGACTCGGCGAGTTGGCTCCTACTCGGCGAGTCCATAGAGGAACTCGGCGAGTTCGAGCGTCAGAATGAGGCAGTTTCGGGATTTCTTGCTGTTTTGGTCATGGATACTTGCCTTAACTGTTTTGGGTCATTAAAATTCGAGTTTTAATCATATTTTGAGTATATCCTTGATTAAACAAAGAGATAATTACCAATTGATTAGATAATAACGTCCTTATTTGATTAAAGTTTGGTTATTTGTATTAATTGGGTAACTTATCTTGAATGGAATTGATTTTAGGTCAAATATAGATAATGATAAAATTAATTGTTTAATTTATATTATTTGATCCTTGTGTTATGAAAAAGTTTCAATTATTCCCCTTTAGATTTTATAGTTTAAATTTGAACTCAAAAGTTTTGTTTTGAAATTTAAATAGTTGAAATCCTAGTGTTTTGAAAAGTTTCAAACTTGCCCTCAAGTCTTGGAATTTAAAATTTTGATTAAAAAGTTTGATTTTGAAATATTTAAATTCTAAACCCTAGTGTTTTGAAATGCTTCAAAACTTGCCCTCAAGTTTTGGAATTTAAAAGTTGATTAAAAGTTAATTTAGAAATGTTAAATTCTAAAACCCTAGTATTGTTTTAAAAAAAGTTCAAATCACACCCTTATGGTTTTATTAATTAATTAAGGTGTATAATTAAAAGAGATTTAATAAATCCATATAGTTTTTGGTTTACATTTAATTAAATTAAAAGTATAATTTTTAAATTAGACCAACTAGTATTTTAAAGTGTAAAATACACCCTATACTATATACAACATTAAAAGTCTAACATTATATATATGTATGAGTAAAAGTCAGTCTTACCGTTAGTAGGCCTCATTCACGAAGCTAGTCTATAAGGGGTGTTTAAGGAAATTGCCTATAAAATGGCGATTGAATGGGTATCCACTCTTACCCACCGCACTCTTGACTAGTGGAGGGTCGTTAGCCGAACGGGTAGGATTGGACAGAAACCTTCCATTAAAAGTATAATGAAATACAAAAGTAACTAAGTGCTTTTACAAATTCCCAATCTTAGTTACTTTAGGCAAAAGTGAATTGATGCAATCCCATGAAATTACACTTTGTGCCCTTGCGAAGATTTTAGTGGAGCGTGTGTGGTTAACCGGCACACTGAATGGTTCTAAGCAAAGGCAGTAAAGGGTGACTTAATGTTTGTCATAGTTCGGTGGAGCGTGTGTGGTTAACCGGCACATCGAATAGGTGACTGAAGCATGTGGGGGCACCATGTAAGTTTGCATGGTTATTCACACCCTGTTTTGTGATCCTTGGCATCTCAGTCACAAACTAGAGGGGCATATCGAGATTTAAACATGCCATTGAAAAGTTCAATGAATCTCATAGGATCTAGGAGTTTTCAAAAACATCTAAAACTTAATCGGTTTTTCGTTTTTCATGGTGGAAAATTAGTGAATCATCATTCACTTATCTTCAAATATTCTGCAACTAGATTACGGCATCTCTTTTATAGGTTGTAGCGTATTGTGTTGGGTCCTAGCCTTGATATCTCATTTGGGTGATTTATTAAGGACTCAATCTATTAACTAACTTGAATTTATTTTTTCTCCCATTTTGTAGATGTCAAAGTACGAGAACCATGGTCTTCCCAAATCCCGTGGAACAAGCATTCCACATGAAGATGATGTTCCACGATTCTATCGAGGAACAAGAAATCATGCTTCACTTCCACCACCTCCTCCAATTATTCTCCCTAACCTACAAGATCGAAGAATTGAAAGTTTCAATGTCACTAATGCCCTATTGGAAATGAAACATGAGGATGGTAAACCCATGTGTGCCAACGTTCTAGGAATGAAATCATACATTGATAGGTTGATAATGTTGGGTGCGTCATTCCCTGATAAGTTGGCAGTGAATTGGGTTATGCACTCACTCCCTGAATCATATAATGAGTTCAAAAGAAAGTATTATATGATGGATCATGACAAAAACCTCATTGACCTAACTTACATGCTCATTGTTGGTGAATCAGAAATGATTTGGCAAAGCAATGGAGCATATTTGTTGGGAAATTCAACCAACCATGCTTCTGAGGACGTTCTAGGAGAACCGATCTGCATTTGTTGCCAAGTGAAAGGGCGTTGGATACAAGTCTTCCCTAAGAGCCTAAAGAGTCCAGAAGATGGGAGAGTCAAAGAGTATGGATGTGCTTCAGGTAAAATCCACTATCTAACTCCACTAAGTTCTTATTCATTGATTCTAAATACACAATGTGATAAGATTGCATTTGAATGTTTTGCAGGATCAGTGAAAAGAGAGGAAGCTTGATGGAAAAGCAAGATGAGTCTGATCACGAAGAAATGGATCTCGATCACATGGATTCGAAGATTAGATTTTGAGCTTAGAAAGTTATGATAGAGTTGTTAGGAATATTTGATTACATAGTTTTTCAGTTGATTTTGCATTGTAAGGACAAATGTTTCCCGCTGCTTTTATGAATAAAATAAATTTTGTTTGACTTATTTATTTATTTATTTCCTTGCAATGAAATTGTTATGAAAAATTGATGTTCGCATATTTCTACAACAAATGGATGTGATTCTTAATTATGTTATTTATGGAAATGTCAAAAATTTACCAAATAGGGAGAGTTTCTCATCGCCCAAGTTTGAAGAGGATAGAAACTTGGAATCATTCAACGAGTATTGTATGATGAATGAAGAATTTCATATTTGAAAATTAGACTAATTCATTGGCAAAGTGTCAAGTGA